CAAATAACTTGAATAAAATATTGACAAAAAAAGTTAGTCCTCCTAATTTAACTTTCTAGTTACTTTATGTAATTTATATCTTTTTAATTAGGCTTTAAGATTTATATACGTATATTTATATTATGTAACAATTTATTATGATTATTATTATTATTTATTTATTTGAATTCATTATATTAGTTTTTAGATTTAATAAACCAACAAAACAAATAAATCAAACCATAACTTTTCTTTGCTGCGAACACCTTTCTTCGATCTAAAAGTGAAACTTTTATAGCCTGAAAAATCAAATGAAGTTTACATTTAAATAATAAACGTATATGTAATACACACACACACACACACACACACACACACACACACACACACACACACACACACACACACACACACACACACACACACACACACACACACACACACACACACACACACACACACACACACACACACACACACACACACACACACACAATCTTTATTAAATAACTTAATTAATAAAATAAATTCACCTGTTTATCTCCGTCGAAAACGCTTCCCACGCAAGCGTACCCGTCTTCCTCTCCTTTGCGGTCAAAAGCCATCATTTCTCTCTGCTACACACGAGCCTCCCAAGTTGTTGCCCTCGCCTGCTCGCTAAGCTTTTGGTTATTTTTCTCCTTTGCACCAAAACCATGAGCCGCTCACCATCCTCTCTGTCCTTGCACATCACGAGAGTTTCTTCGTCTTGTTTCCTCCACTACTTGACACCAACGTCGCTTCCTCCTTCTCTACTTGACACCGACACTGCCTCCTCTTTGCTCAACAAATATGTCATCCTTCGTCGTTTTCGTTGCCTCTGGCTATGAGGAAGCCCTAACTTACATTTGTCGATCCTCTTGATTTCGTCTTGCGTCAATCGTTTCACAATAGAGAACTTAAAGTACAAGAGATGGCACAATTTTGTATTATTTTTTCTCCACTTTAACTCATCTTGAGGATCTCTATTTAAAGGCTGGGGTCCATATTTAAGACGTAAAAGAAATGCTACATAATAAAATACATGAATAATAAAATGCATCCTAGGAGCAGTTCTTGACATTTTCTCCAAGGTTCCTTGAATCATCCTTCTAAGCCTGTACTCAATCTCAACAAGAAGTTTTGTTGTCAAAAATGTTTGATTCTCCATGTTGAAAAGAAAGCTTCTTCCTTTACAATTTTCTATGAATCTCTTTTGATTTGTGGCATTGGTCAATACTCATAACACCTTTGAGAATCTTGAATTTTGATTTGTTTGTTTGTAAATAATACCAAAATTCTACTTAGTATAGAGAGAAAGAGGAGGAGAGCATAAAAAAATGAGTTATAAAGATTTTCACTATATAGAACTTAAGCGTACAAGGGATGGAGTTTGCATTATTTTTTCTACACCCTGACTCATTCTGTGACCCTCTTCTCTTTAAAGGTTGGGGGTCGATATTTAAGACCTATAAGAAATGCTACATAATAAAATAGATGAATGTTGAAAAGTAAAAAAGCAAGACCCATTGGTTACTTTCCATAAAATACAAGGTGTATAGCCTTTGTAAGAACTTGGATTTGTGGTCCACCCATTAGGAGGGCAGTTCCTTTCAAAGAATTCGCCAAGTAATTTCTAAGTATGCATGACTACATCTGAGTTTTATTGGTCAGTGAGTTCATCATGAAATTTATGAAGTCTCCATTAGCCCGTTTGAATTTGTTTCCAACTCGACTAGCGACATTAACCTTGAAACCGGCTGATGAGTCTACCCTGAACTCAACAAACAGATCCACCTGAAGCTTGGCTGGCAAGTTTGGCTTGCACTCGGCGGACAAGTCTTTTTTTTTTTTTTTTTGACCATTTTGGGTGATCTATTTCTTTTTTTCTCTGCAAAATGAAGCATGCACATAGAACACCAAAAAGTAGAACATTTGGCCTTCCACGTAAAATTAGTACAGAAAAGTTTTCAGTAAATAAATATATTGTATCTAACTGGCATGCAGAAATGCAAGAGAATTATAACACTAAATAATAAAAGAATATAAAATCTACAATAGATTTTATTCTATAACGCTTTTAATGAATTACATCAAATGCAACTAAAAATAAACAGACACATGATATGTGCGCGTTCATAATATCTATGGCTTGCAATTCAAAATTGGCCATTTTCCACCGAAACTGCATCAGAGATTTAAAAAAGACATCAGTTAAGCAGCCAGACTGAAGGACTGTTCCACGTGTAGGTTATCATAGAAAAGCTTATTTCCTAGTAACTGTGCCAGAATTTCGGTATGAGAGGTTGAAGATTGAATCCAATAAGTACTTCAAAAGTCTATAAGTTTTCTAGTGTCAGTAAGAGAAAAAGAATCCAAGCAGAAAGAATTTTGCCCAAATTGCAGAAATTTGAAAAAGCTTGTTCCAGACACTACTAGAACAGGAATGTTATGCTAGTTACCAGAAGGAGATAGAACAACCAGTTGAATGATGAAAAGAAACAGAACTGCATCTCAGTACAAAACAACAGCAAAAACAAGCCTTTGTCCCATAAAGTGGGGTCTGCTATATGAATCATTTTTCTCCATTGTGTCCTATTGAGTGTCATATTTTCATTTCATTTTAATAAATTAAGACCATTTTTTATACAACTGCATCGCGGTAATGATTCAAAATTTAAATGTAGAATGTGTGAAGGTGTCTATTGTTTTTTAGTAGCTTGATTCGCATCATCACTGTAATTAAAGATTTATGGAACATTCAAAAAAGTTTTTTTTGATGAATATGCTATCATATTAAGAAGTGTCCTAATTAATTCTGATTTTTTTTTTCATGTGTGATAACTTAGCATTATAACAATATACGTTACTCTGGCACTGGTAAATTATAGCAACATAAGAGAAATTTGCTCATAATAATTATAACCAATCAAATATGCCCCATATTTATTTTCTCCGAGAAATATCCCTGAAATTTTATTTCGAAGCAAGACGCCACCTCTTGTACTTATATACAACCCATTGAAGTCCGCCATACATGAAATTCACTAAAATTCAGCCGAATTTGAATCTTAGTTTGAATAATACTTTCAACTCAAGTGCAATTCCTAAAAAGCTTCAACCGAGGTTTGAAGAAGCTTCTAACCTAACAAAAAAGTTTCGAACAAAGTTCAAATAATATTAAAAAAGGTTTGAAAATGAACCCTATTCAAAAGAAGTTTAAAACCAGATTTAACAGAATTAGATCAAGCTATAACATAGCAGTTTATAATTCTGACACAACGAAGTACAATAACTGCAGATCATGAAATGGCAGCAAAGAGAAAATGAAGAGTATAACTTTAATACAGAAAGAGCGATCATAATAACTAAAACACAACAAAATTGAATTACTTCAACCACTTAGTACTTGGGAAGGCAAATCTCTTATCATTTCACTTTTGGATACAAACTAATAATTAGAATATTTATCCATATCACCAAATGTACATAAATTTGAGATTGTTTGAACTTATCCTCCAACCTTGCAACGTGAAAAATTGTACAATGCTGATTTGCACACCCTATGAAGCATGGACATGGACACTGGGACACAGACACGACATGACACGATACGAGGACACAACATATATGATAAAAACAGGACATGATACTTCATGGACATATTTTTATATTTAATTAATTATTAATATGAAATATATATTTTTACATTATTTTTTATTAAAAATATCACAACACAAATTATGCAAGAATAAAATTTAATTTATATTATTAACCTCATGGTTATGAAAATTAATTTTAAAATTAAATATAATATATTTCAAAAGAATTCATCTAACATATAATCCAACTTATCTACTAAAATTTAAAAAATCTCATGATTACAAAGAGAGAATTATTAATGTTTGGCTTCGACGAATATTGAATACACATTTGATGCTCGATTTGATGAAAGTATGAGGTATAGTTAAGGCTATACGTATATTTATAATTTTCAAATTCTTGTGCCCCATTTTCTCAAATCATGTTAAGTTCATGACCAATGCGGTGTTGGGTGTGTCTTGGACGTGTTCGGGCCAAAAAAAAATTTCAGACAAATACTTTATAGTGGTGGGGAAGTGTCAGAGAAGTGTCGATGTGTATCGAACACGTGTCAGTGTTTGAACAGTGTCTGACACGGGTACAACATACTTTTAGACGTGTCGGTGCTACGTAGCGTACACCCTTCTTCTTCAAAGCTTATAGTTTATGTAGCCTACGCAATAGTGGTATGCATTAATTCAATTCAGTTGGTTGGCTGACCAATTTGTTAGACCAATTGAACCAAACCAAATTATAGTGGAATTGAACCGACCAAATCATGGATAAAATTGAACCAAACTGAGTCATGCGGTTCATTTTTACTTTGGAGAAAAAAAAAATAAATTCAATTTTGAAAATGTAAAGACCCTAATCAAATTGAAATATAAATATAAAAATGTATATGTATACGTGTTTTGTATATATGTATCATTTTGATATTACCTATTTTTTTCTAAAATTGAATCAGAAATTATATTCCAAATAACCCTTTTTCCAAACAAACACTAAAATATCCTCAAATAAATTGAGCCAAATTAATCAAAACATTTGATCTAAACCAATTAATGCACATTCTTAGCTTCCAAGAAGATCAAAAGCATCAATTTGTCTAACAACTTTACTCCGCACACGCATCTCAGCATAAACTATTAAAGTAGACATTTGCACATATAGCAAACCAACTTAAATAAGTTACTTGCATGTAAAGATAATGAACATAAAACAAATAAGTTCAAGCCAATTAGAGTATGGTTCGAGCAAGTTTTGAACAGGGTTCAATCACATTTGAACATGATTTAATAGTTTTTTTCTAGCTAGAATAATAAGACTAAAGAAAAATACAAAGAAGTACAAAAAACATGAAATAAAGTAATGAAGCATCCAATAGTATTGAAAAACAACAACTAAGTCAATTGGATCACCTTGCTGGAAACCTGCCGAAAGGGCGAGAGTGATGATACGTTTTATTCTAATTAGATCCCTGCCTGAAAAATAGCGTATGGAATCTCCTATAAACCAGAATGTCATCATTCATACTACCATCATAATCATCTTATTGTTGATAAAGACTGTTAGTTTCTTCTGTAATAGGATGTAGAGGGGATAATTGAACAATCAAAGGGTAAGAAAATATTCTCTTGTTTCCAAAACATGTAGAAACATGCCTTTAGAACTAGCAAAGTGTAAACACAATGACTCGGGATACTAAGGGGCATCAAATGCTTCCAAATTCTGAAACCAAAACTTAAGTGATGATGGATGAGTCGTACTCATAGTAGAAGGTAAGAAACTATTACTAATAAATCAAATAAGCTTTGAAACACTCAAAGAAGTTCTATACAAATATTTGTAGAAAGAAAAATAAGCGAAGATGCTTTCAAAAATTATCTTCTGCCAATCACCAAAAACACTAAGCTAAGCCACACCTTATCTTTTAAATGATTATGTAACATCCATTTCAACTAGAACTCTACCACAGAAGGCTCAAAAGCTAATTAATAGTAGAATCCACTTGTAAATGTTTATGAAAGATAAAACCCAAAGATTACAAATTGGATTAGTTTTTAAAAAAATGTAATAAAAACTAAGAAAAAGCAACCCAGCAATCAGTAACTAGTGGTTTCATGGATATATCAAAATAAGAGGACCAGTTAAGTATGTGCATCAGAAAACTATTCACCATATATATAAGCTTAGAAAAGAGTCAAGCATAGTCTACACCTAAATGATATGACAAGGATCAATCAATCCAACAAAATAATTACCATAAAGTACAAGTCAGATACTAATTTATGAATGGCATTTAATCAAAGAAGATGAATATAAGTTTCCCTTAAAAGAAAGATGGTTGCGTGTAAGCATGGAATAGAGTTGAATAAAAAAAAAGGGAATGGGCAAAAAAAAGATGGGTGCAATCCTGAAGGTGAAGATGTGCATCAACTCTTCGGCAAATGTGTGGTGATTATGAACCAGTTGGTGTAGACTATGCTTACAAATAAATCTTTAATTTATGTCCAAGTACAAATAAATCTTTAAGTCCAAGATCCAATATATAGCTAATGTTTAATTTAAATAATTACTTGCAAACTTTATTTTTAGATTTCAAATAAATATTCCATTCCTTAATCTCAACTTTTTTCATAACTTGATACTATTTTTTATATCATGATTAAATTAATTATCAATTTAATTTCATTATTATTATCTTGAATCATCAATTTAAAAAAAATATAAAATGCACTGTATACTCCTTGTAATTATTGCAAATAAAAAATTCATTATTAAGATTTTTCATAAAACTTATAGTACCAAAAAGTCTTTCTGAATCATTTTAAATTTTTAATTATTATTATTATTATCAAGAATATCATTACAAATTAATCATACATTCTAAAATAAAGATTTTAGGAGTATGCAAATCCTAACCTTCCAGTTCACACTCCATTTGCAAGATTGACCAAAAATCCACCATTGCTCTTGATTTCACTTTCTTGCCCTGTTTCCTCTCCTCTGCTCGCCCACGCCCATGCAAGACTATATGGAGTCATTGTTCCTGCTCTCGCAAGTTCATCTATCGGTTTGCTCCTTCGCATGCTTCAACTTGAGGCCAAGGTAAGTACATGCTGCCGCCTAATTAACTTTCCAGTTACAGCACGACGTCGCCTCTTGCATTGTTCGTCTCCTCTCCCACTACATTGTTTCTTCTTGTTTGAATTGCTACAAGGATATCTTCGTCTTCATCTGCTCCCGTCGTCTTCCTTAACGACTCTTCCCCCTTCTTACTCATCTCCCTCGCATTCTAAACACTAGCGTTGCTAGCAAATTATTATTTTTCTTTACTTTACAAAATATTACAGTTTGAGCAACTCACTTGTTTGAAAGCTCTTGTAACTCGGGCATTGAAGGTCATGACGTATATTTTTATATAGCTGAGTCGTTTTGATTCGAAATGAACTTCTTCGCAGATTTCTCCAAGAAAACAAATATTAGCTAACGGCAACATAAAATCAAATTTCACTAGCATAAAAACCTCGTTTACTAATTCAGAAACAGAAAAGCAAATTGACCAATGAAACCGCCTAGTTCAACCTGATTTTGAGTGCTAGAGCGCAATTTGCCAATTATATATTTTTCGCAAAAATATAGGAATGGTCCATCTGCCAGGGAGGAACTGAAACATATTTTAATACGCAATCAATTAGGCTAACACACATTAAAATTACAAGTATGTTCCTTGTTTCACAAATTAGTATGATATATGAACAGAATAGTTGAAAGTGATGTTAGTTTACACATTTTCTTGTTCAAGGTTTAACTAAGTTTAAAATTTCTTAGAGGAAGCACTTGCTTATTTCACCTAGTGAGAGAGTAATAATGCCCAATGGCGCATAATTTATTATTAATATAACTCCTGAACTTATCATTCAGCCAAAAGCGCATAATTTAATATTAATGTCAAAGAGAGAAGCAGCAGCATCCAAAGGGCAAGAAGTTTTTCAAAGGGCAATTTCTTGCAACAAAACCTTATGTCATTCATTATTTCACCAAGCCAGTTTTCAGCTTTATAAAAGTAATAAAGGGCAGCCTAATAAAAAGATTCTGAATAGGACTGAACAGAAAGAAAGGGTAAAGAATAGTAGTCCATTAGAGTTGACAGTTAATTACATTTATATGGATAGAACTAAAGAATTTGAAATTCTAGGAAACATACAGTCAGTTTCTAGAGCACCTTTGCCAAAACTACACGATATCAAGATATGAGAAAATTAGTCAGTATAGAATTACATAAAAACATATGGAAATAAACAACTCATCTAGAGAACTTCAAATGCGAACATACTCACCCAAATAGAGCTGGAATAATATTTTAATGATGATTATGATAACAACGAAATGTTAACATGACTAACAAGCTTGATTAAAAAACTAAGTACTCATCCACTCATTATGGCAGAGGTGTAGTGAAAAACCCTTCAAGAGAACATGAAATGTTAACCTGCCAACAAAGATAGTTGAGATAAGGCCAATGAGGACGACGATGGAATGCTAAAATGATCAAAAGAGTGGTATTAAACCAATTATTACAGCAGAGCGCAGCACGCAGCCCGCAGCCCACTTGAAACTCCTCATATAAAGAATCAAACGGGAAATGAAGTGCCTGTGCAGATCGAAAAAAGAAGGCCTACCAAGTAAAATAGCAAAATCAATTGACAAAATATAAAATTATCCATTAAGACCTGCCACTGCTGAGAAGTAATGTGCAAAAGAATGGATTTTTTTACCAATTCCAATTAAATTGCTGAAATTTAAACCAATGTTTTTTTAACATTAGAGGGATTGCACACTTACAATTTTGATGAAAAATTAAATTCCAATCATAAACAAAAGCCATGTCCTCGAACAGCCCATTGCATAATTGAAAATCATATTTTACATGCCTAGTTAACAAAATAGTTGGAAATGGGCTGGGGCTGTTGTGAAGGGATTTGAAAGAAAAACAGGGAAAGTGGGGTCAATGAATCGGACAATAAATTTATTTTGATTGCCAGAAGAATTCCAATAATCTGGCAGTCCCAAGCAATTTAAAGGTTCATGAATTCCTTTAAAATTGGTATAAAGTCCATCTTTCATAGCACGCACTTCTTCACTGAACTTTAAGATAACAAGTTCCACTACATTCAAGGCCAGTGTGGCTTAAGGAGGGTTCCAATCATCTTAGTGTGTTAGGCCGACTACAAATTGCCGTCATGGACCCAAGCTATAGCGATAACACAAAGCCAATATACGCTTTAAATATTACAAAGCTGTTCCCAGATCTTAACCTCAAGGCCAGCTTGGTGGCAAATCAGAAGTCTATCAGATCCTTAAAAAATAATCCTGCCACTTACCCTGCTGCAAGCTCAAATGCCCGCATTACCTTGGATAGTTCCAGACGAAATCTGTCAGATTAAAATGCTATCTGCTACAAACAGCCAGTCTATAGCACACTATCAGACAGAAGATATCGACTGTGGTTCCCCTGAATACATCTTTTTCAATTGCTCCATGAAAATAATGACACAAAAAAGGCGGCTACAACACAAACTCTTTTAAGTTTTTCAATAAATTACAATAATTGTTAAGGCTTGAATACATATTGATCAATATCTCCACAATATTTACATATAGAAGAAAGCTATAAACACAACCATTAGGTTGTAAGCATAATATTGTAGAGAATAATAAATTTGGAACAAAGATCTTCAAAGGAGTACAAGATTCCCTATACTCTCACTTCTAGCAAGCAGTAAGAACTGCTATGAAGATCTCCCAAGAAATATGGTGCACTATAAAGATACAGAAATGTCACGTAAGAAACCTGCATGTACATCCAAGTTAATTACCCAATATTGACGAAAAGAATAAGTTTGTATGACAGAGTTAAAATTAAGATAGGAGGCGTGTAAAATGTATGAAGTCGCGCTGAATGATTCTAGACAGAACAATATTGGCAATGCCTCATGGTCAGGTTTAAGCAGTTAAGCTATAAAGTAAAGAGTAAGTAATCCTTATCTACATAAATACCATTCATTCAAAAATAGAACCATCTTTATGTTTTCATGCAAATAACTGCCTTATGCGAAAAATTCAGGGAAATAATAAATGTCAAACTAAAAACAAGAAATTAAGGCTTTTAGCCACCATAGTTTGTGACTTACTGTAGGCTTTTTCTTCATAAGAATGTAGTTTCTAGCTTAATTTGCATAAATAGTGAAAAAAAACCCATATGGGTCTTCCGACATAGTTTTATAAGTTGTTTATATATGTAGATTTAGGGTTTGATTGTTTCAGCTGCGGTTTAATGAAATCTCAGTTCAAAAGTTGTTGTGGAGAATCTGTTGTTTAAAAGTTGATTTCTCGGAAGCAATTATTCTGTTTGAAAATTTCAATTTTTTTGAAGGTGTTGAAAGTAAATAAATGTTTGAAATACCCCTTTACTCATATTTAACTGTAAGAAAATGTGATTGATAGCAACAATGGAGGAAGGTTTGGAGCAACATTATTACTAGGTGTTATAATGTATCATATTTTTCTTAGCATGGTTAAAACAAACTTTTTTTTATACTTATCATTTCCACATAAAATAAGGGATGATATCAAATTTAACATATTTGATGTACCTTCAAACAATCTGGAATGTCAAGCTCAATTTTTCTTTTCTTTTTTTAATTCCCCTCACCAATATTTGAGCAACATGACCATACACAAAAGAAACACCTATGCATATATAAATATGTGTGTGTGTGTAAATAGGAATGGCCAGAGACTATTATACGAGCTTCTAGTCACCCTTAATGTGTCTAACAATTCGAGTACCATCTCCTTAAGGCAACTGTGCCAGAAGGGATTCGAACTTCTGACCTGAGGGGTCTTATACCAGGGTATGCTATCCATCATCTACTAAGTATGGCTCAATCAGAATGATTGGCTCGACCGAAATCATATTGACGGAACCTCTCTCAGGTTCTTTCAAATACACTTTCGAAATCGTTATGTTTCCAATCTTGAAATTTCTCTCGAGCAAATCTTTGAAGCTGAAGCATTCCTCTATAGTATGTCGAAGAAATTTGCGGTATGAATAATAGTTGGGATGATCCTTCTTGGCAACTTCTTCTGGTTTCTTCGACTCAGGTAATCTGAACTCTTGTTTCTTAATCAAATTCTAAAACATCTTTACTACTGCTTCATCCTTGAAAGAATACATCTTGTTCAACCGATTCGCCATAGACGGATCCTGTCCTCCATCCGTCTGGTATAGTCTCTGTTGGAACGATGGTTGACTGAATTGTTGGTTGTATTGCTAGTTATGTTGCGGATGTTGATAATTCTGACGAGACTGTTCTGCCTGAATCAACATCGGCTGCTTGTATTTGTCCACCGTTGCCACTTTCTCGGGCTTCTTCTCGAATGCTTAACCGACTTTAGCTTCTAAGACTTTTCTAGCAAACCCAACTGCTTGGCCTCCTCTTGCAGACTTCCAGCTTTACTAAGTAGCTTTTCAAATAGTTTAATTTTGAGTCCTTTGAGCATGAAAGTTGTCAAACCGTGAATAACCTTGAGTAAGATCTCGATCGCGTGTTATATCTGTAGTTGTGGCTCGCACTTCATATTTAAATTCCTCCAACGTATGATGTACTCGACCAAAGTCACTGTGGGTTTCTGGCGTTCTACCACAAAATCACCCATGGTGACACAGTGTTGAGCTCTGGCAAACCTTTTAACAAACAAACTCTCTAACTCTGCGAACGTCTTGATTGAGCCATTGGCCAACTTTGCATACCAATTAAATGCGATCCCTGAAAGCTTGCTCGCAAACTAACGGAACAATAAATGCCTAAAAACAAAATTATCATAAAAATCCAAGTTGGCACAAAAATGAGCCACCTTACTGCATTGTCTACGAGTGTGCAAAAAGAGCACATGTTTGAAGGCAGTGAAAAAGGCATAATCTTTGCAGTTTAGTGGTTATTTCTAATTTTTGTTAGTGGTGGCGTGTTGGAGGGAAGAGATGTCATTAGAGTTGTCACTTGTAGAAGAATCCCAAGTGACAACATAAATGAATAGTATTTAAAAAGTTAATTAGAACCATCCATGATAAAAGTTAAAATACAAATAAATAAATTACTAGTATTTTAAGATTTCTCCGAGAACTTAAATTAGTAAAATGAGAAATAAAACTTGAATTTCTAACTTGAAAATCAGTAAAAGGCTGTTTTTTTCTATGATATGCCAAATGATGACTTGTTTTTAACTTGCCAGCTATAGAAAGGAACTTATTTTGCTTGGACATTACCAAACAGGCGTACCTCTTATACTCTTAATTTTCATCTAACTACCAAATAAATAGGGCAGGGTAGAGGGTGTGGAAATGTAGAGAAGTAAGGGTTGACTATGATGGATGTATAATTCTGCATGAAGGAGCATTAAGATTTTGACATTGTCACGATGATATAAAACTCAATAAGACAATCAACAATCAAACTCTCTTGACAAGAGAATATTGTATAATTACATAATGAATTGATGAAAAGAGATATAAAAGGATCCCAAAGTTACCATACTCAACCTTTGAATCAAGAAAACCCCTATCATTAGGATATATGATCATAATAACCATTTCAAACAATAGGCTTAAAGCTATCAAAAAGATGTATAATCATAAGAACCAATTTTCGACAATATGTTGTATTAGAGCTATCATAATGAGCTAGCATTTCAGAATTCACGGCTGTGAAAATGATGCATTTGTAAATAAAGAAAAGTTCATCAAATTCAGGAATGGTAAACAATTTAGCATCAATACATGGAGAATTGTAAAGCTCAATGGCTTAGCTTTGAATCTATATAATGCATAGGTATAAAATCTTGAAAAAAAATCCAAGTCGGGAAGACTAAGAAGATTGATGAGTAATTCTAAATGCAATAATGTCAAGATATTGACGCTTTTTAGATAAATTAAAAAAAAAAACTCAACAAGATTATCAAGCAGTTGATAACTCTTGATAGTGGTATTCTGCATAAAAAGAAAAATGGATTCAAACAGAAAGATAAAAAATTATCACACATTTATCATACAAGACCTTTAAATGCAAGAAAATATTATATTTAGAAGATATAATCACATGAAACCGATCCAACTAACAGAAACCAATGCGGCAAGTTGTAGGCTTGGAGCTATCAAAAAGTGCTAGTACTGCAGAATTAACGACTGTAAGAAAGATGATTGCATAAAGAATGAAATGTTCATCAAATTCAAGGATGGTGCATTGTTTAGTATCGTTATTTGGAGGTTAGTAAAGCTCATTACGTTAAGTTTGAATCTACAAAATGCTTAAGCATATAATCTTGCAAAAGAATTCCAAGTTGGGACGACTGTGACATCTAATACTAATTTTGCATGAAGCAGCATCAAGATTTTTATCCTGTGATTGTGCAATCAAAACTTAGGGGCCATCTAGCAATGAATTTAAGTTGTATTTAACTTGAATCTTGCCAAATAGAAAAAAATGTCAACTTTTAAATCCTGGGTTTTGTAAATCAATTTCTTTTCATTTTCTTCTCAGTTTTCTCTTAGATCCTGGATTTCTTAAATCTTGATGTTGGAGGGATTCAGTAAATCTGGATTTCTGTCCCTTAATGAGAAGCAAAAGCAATCATATCCACATAACAACTGAAATAACTTCAAATAGGCAGATCTAAAATGCTCCCAAACTTACTCTCCTTGCCCTTAGAGACGCGAAAAATTCAATAGTTTTGAAGCAAAATCAAACAAGAACTTTCATCAACATCTATACAAAAATAAAATGAATATAATCTGAATGTTCTTTAAGATGTATTATGGATCTTTCGGAAATATACTGATCTCGGTGCTAATATAAAACCAACAAATCAAAATAAACAAAAACCAAATAAAAAGGTGTTCTAAAATTTAACTGATATAGTTTTCCAGATGCTATAAATATAGTGAATTTTCTATGCACAGCATTAAATTCCTGAATAAAGACACAAACAACTGAGTTACAGATACATAGAGCAAAATCAAAGCGAATCAACATGAATTTTAAGATTTACGGGCTTTGATCTGAAATATAGAAATTGAATCAATGGCCAAATACGTCATATACTACAAATCTGTCATAATTCACCAATTTCGCTAAGAAATTACCAGACAAATCGGAGTAACGCCCAACAAATGATCCAATGATCTCAGTTTCTCTTTTTTTTCTTCCTATAGGATCCTAATTCGGTCGCTTGTCCGTTCCCTTCGTAATCCAAAAAGTGAAATTGTGATCGTAGCCGAAAAGAATAGGTTCGAAAGGAGAGAGCCGAATCCAAACCCTAGCAGAGGAAAGCCTAAATCGGAGAGCTCGAGAAGAAATCGAAACCAGAGCTTCTTTACTTCTTCGTTCTCGTAGAAAAAAATACCACCGGAATCAAGGCGACGTGCAACGTGGCGGCTAGTTGTCGGTAAATTGCTCCGCGGACATAATAACCGTAAAATAATGGGGTCCGATATACTCAAGTCAAACCACATGATATAACAACACTAATAAATATTTAAATATAATCGAAATAATATAATATTTAAATATAGATATTAAATAATATGTAATATATAAAAATTACAACTTCTGCATAACAGATACTTCATTTAACTAAAAAAATTTGGAAATAAGTTGTTTTTCAAACGCACAAACCAAACAATTTTTCAACAGATCATCAGGATAAACTGCTTATCTAGATAAGCTGAATAGGCTTCAGCTACCCTAAATAGACCTTGAATGGTATAGATATAAATCATCCTTCTTGATATATTATTTTAATTTTAATGTAAGAACTAGTTAAGAATATCGCCATATGGGTTGTACATATGTGCTTTTAATCAAGATATTTTAAAATGTATGACAAGTATTGTGATTTTAAAAAATTAAATTAATTATGTAAGTAACAAAAATTAATATATTCAATATTCAACTATATCTATTTATAACAATACTACAATAATATAAAAAAATAATAATTTTTTTAAAATATTTTTTTATTATTTTTCTTAAACTTTCAACAAGTTGGTTGTGAAATGCAAATATACAAAAAAAAATATTTATTTTTTTTTGCTTTTTTTTTGTGGATAAGGTTAGATATATAAATAAATCATGTTTAGAGAATATATATATATATATATAATCAAATCGTATGATGCAAATGATTTATCAAGAGTGCAAAAAAATAAAATACAATAAAAAATAATATATTGTTTGGAACTTTGACTTTATATGCTTCATTAAAGTAAAAAACTAAAAACATTATGTTTTACTTTTGTCTTATTTCTCTTAATTTTGAAAAAGATACTTACATTCATATCTCAAAGAAGAACGTTACTTCTTACAATCACGCAGAGAGGATCAATGACATAATAATTCATTGACATATCGCTTATGTGATGGATCTATGAAATTCGTAGTTAAATATTTCTTATGCTTATAATCCATTTTTATAAAACCTACCGTATGTGCATCACTCTTACATCTAAAGATAACAGATGAGCTTACATCCACTCTCTTCTTGGCATCCTTATAATGAGAATAAATCGGTCACATATGTATCAATGGCTAAGTTAATAATAGGCAATCATTCACTCTCTTATGTTTGCTCTTTCTTCTTTCTAAAGCTAAATTTATGAATAAGATTGCCCAAATAATCCAATTATTGCCCTAGATGTATTTAAATATTCTCTTAATTAATATTATCTCTTCATCATCAACATAATGACAAAAAAATGTTTGAATTCCTTTTAGTGTAGCATGGATTAATTTGCAAGTGACTAACTGTATATCCAAAAATGAGTAGTTTAAGCAACAGAAAAGCCAAAAAACTCAATGAGCCTTACAAGCCTATTGGATCGAGCCCAGTGACCATGTGTTTAATCATCTGGTTTTGATTATATCAATCATACTTGTTAGCCATATATTTGGAGGTGAAAAGTTGCTAAGCTTCTTGCTGCCCAGAAGTAAATCATTGTTACCTCTAAAGCTCGCTAGCATTTATGTGAATTCCTTCAATCGGGCTCGCTAAGCATAAGCCCTTCAGGCGAGCTTCTCTCGCGAAGCTCACTGTTGTGAATCAATTTTGTGAAGTTTTTTTGCATAAATCTCATGTTTTATTTCGTTTTTATGATGATTTTACACTTATGGAAAATGTTTCTGTCATATTTTGCAGGTTAAAGGTGTTGAGTGTTCTTATGAGAACAAAAATATGAAGTTGGATAAAAGAAGAGCTTGGGGTACCTTTGCCGCCCTCTTATGTAATTATGTTAGCATCTCTATTCTGAATGCACACTAGCTTGATTGAGAGACAGAGGAGGTTGTGTAATTGCGCCTACTTTATGTGTAATTACGCTTCCATCAAGCATAATTGTGCCACAATCGGGTGTACCTATGTCGGATCTATATAAAGTCCAATTTGGCAAGGAATTGAGTGCATCGAACACGAGTTATTTAATCCTGCTTGGGATATGATTTATAGCACTTCTTGGCTTTTGGGGGCTACTCCAATGATGTTTGTGAGGAAGATCTGTCTTGCCCTAGGGTTTCCTCCCATAGTTCTATTTTGAGGGAGATTTCTAGGGAGTTTTTATTTGACGGTTGTGAGAGTTGAGAGAGATGGGTTTGTGTGCACTTATACGAGGCAGATCTAAAAAGAGTTAGCATTGTACGAAGAGAATTGCATGTCATTGCATTGGTTAATTGGCTTGGTGTGAGTTTTTTATACTCTATTATTTTTCTTAATGTTTTCAGTAAATATATGTGCTTCATTCCCTCATGAATAGTAGTTATTTTTCTCACACTTCTATGATGTAAGACATGTGATTCTTCATATTTTTCCCTTGATTCTTTCCCCCCTAACATTTTTATGTGCTTTGGAATTCATATGTTGATGTGTTGACCATTTGAGTGTCATTTTCTCCTGATGTGGCCAATTAGGATGTTAAAATCTCTTGTAATATAGAACTTATAACTGTTGGCCGGAAGAATAAGTAAGCTAACACATGAAAACCTAGTGGAAGAGACATGTTATCATTATGAAATTGCGACATAAATAAAGGACTAAATGATTATTAGGATACGTTGCATGATTAAATCTCTTTAACTATAATAAGGTTTTCAATAATTATTATGATACAAACATAAGCTAAGGAAGACTTATTATTGATCTTCAATAATCACGTGAGAAACTTATGAGAAAAATGATGAGAAATCACTAAATTAGTGTCACAATAGCCTGAGTCCTATCACCTCTGAAAAATCTCAAATATTTTTATGTTGTTTTGTGATCTTTACAGTAGGATTTTAGAACATTTTTCTCTTTGCAAATTTTAACCTTCATATTAAACTTAGGATTGAAATAAAGTAGAATACACAGACTCTAAAATATGACAAATTTCTTCCTAAGATTTATACACGGACTCTAATTTCATACATCACTTAATCAACTTGTATACTTCTATGATTAACTGATTATTTCACAACAACCTGGGGCATCAAGTTTTTTTTTGTCGTTGTCGGGAAATTAGTCCAACTTTTTTTTATTTTTGGAGAATTTTTATTTGAACCTCTTAAAGTTTAAGTTTGAACTTTTCTTACTTTCTTTTTTTTATGTGCTCTTATAAGAGTTTTGTTGTGTTATTTTTTTTGAAAAAAAATAAAAAATCCAAATAAAAAAATAATCATTACATCTTTTCATTTTTATTTTTTGTTTTGCAAGTTAATTATTATTTGTAGGTTTTTTTATTTTTTTTAATATTCGTTTTTCATTTTTCTAGTATATTAGGATTAGTTACGGGAAAAGTGTAGTTATATTTATGAGCTGTTTAGCTAAACTGGTACTCTTTGACCATGAAATCGAAAAAATCTTTAGAAATTTTTTTAAAATTCAAAAAACTCAAAAACAATCACTTAGTAATGACAAACCCTTATAAAAACCATCTAAAACCTCTTAGAGAGTATGTTAAACTATCCAAAGAGGGAATTTATATGAGTAATTATTATCCTATCATTAAAGCTAACACATTTGGGCTGAAACCCCTCATAATCTAAATGGTCAAAAGTAATTAGTTTGGGAAGCTTTCGCTAGAGATCCAAATATGTACTTAGCAAATTTTTTATAACTCTATGCCACCTTTAAGTATAATGGTGTCCCTAGTGATGTCATTAGACTAAAGCTTTTTTTTTCTCACTTAAGGATAAAGCCAAGATGAGACTAACCTCTTTAGCCCTTGAATTGATCATGACTTGGAATGACTTATCCCATAAGTTCTCAATCAAGTACTTCACTCAGTCCAAAATTGTCAGGCTTCAAAATCACCACCTTCACTCATTGAGATAGAGAATTGGTTTATGAAGCTTGTGTGAGATTAAATTTTTTTTTTGGAAATGGCTACACCACACTGTGCCTGAATGACTATTAATCAAAATATTTTATAATGGGATGGCGGGATCCTTAAAGTCAATCAAGGGCACTGCGGTTGGGGATTCTTAATGTCAAAAGCCTTTAATGAAGCTTGGTCACTAATCAAGGAAATAACAAGAAACAACTTTCAATGGACGTTTGATAGACTTACCCCAAAGAAAGTAGCTAGTTGATGTTTTGACTATCCTAACTTCACAAGTTGTTATAATCTCTAGGAAGTTAGACAATTTTGGGATGAATTCTATGTTAGAATGTCTACTAAGTGATGGAACGATTTATGGACTAGTATAAAATTTGATCACTTCTGCCTTAGAGGCAGTGAATATTGTAGGAACTAAGTTCAGCAATACTTATTTTAATACATATAACCCAGGCTTAAAAACATCACTCTAATTTCAATTGGAGCAATAACAACACTGGGGCAAGAAACTAGTAGTGAGGGAACACCCAAGCTAACCCTACAGGAAATTAGAACCATCAAGGCAGTAGTAACTCAAGACAGACCTACTCGTCAAGAATCATTAATAATTCACATTTTAAGGGAAAAAAAATCATCCTTAGAAAAGTTGGTGTTACGGCTACAAAGTTAAGCTTCTAACACAAGAAATATGGAGAATCAAATTGGGCAATTAGTTAATTCATTTAGTAATGGGCCATTAGAGATGTTCCAAACAACACTAATATGAATCAAAGGGAACAAAATGTTGAGCAAGGTAAAGCCATTAGAGTGGTAAGATATCCCTAGGAAGGAGAGCAAACCTATAATGCTAGAACCCGAGCCCACAAGCCTTGATGAAAAATTAACCTCGAACTTGCTAAAACATGTCTCGCCTTTTGGGATAGCAAAAGAGAAACAACCATCACCTTTTCTCCAAAGGCTCAAGAAATAAAAATTAAGCCAACAATCTACCAAGTTGCTAGAGATTTTTCAGAAAACTTACAATCAATATTTCACATACTAAAGCCATTGAGCAGATGGCTAGTTACATAAAGTTCATAACTCATATACTTAAGAAGAAGAGGAAATTACAACACTCATTACAAGCTGCTGCTTTTGCAACCATCAACTACAGTCTTTGCGGTTAACTACAAATATTACATTAAATTACATAATGCATTAGTTTGACAATGTCAGACCTTGTGGCTTCTTCCATTTTCAGGTTTTTTTCACGTAAAATATTGATCTCATTGACATATATATATGTATATAGATTAACAATAAACCAAAGTAATACAAACATTGTCCAAACTAAAAGATAAAACAGTTTTAAGTTTTTGCAAAATCTTACATAAGAAAAAAAAAACTTTCAAGCAAGAAAATAATGGCAGCAAGCCTTCATCTACCAAAGCTGATCCCTTCTATTTCGCCACCACCTCCCCCTGCATCAAAAAATATTTAATAGTGACACGTGCTATTTAAATCATAAACTATGAATTTTATTAGTTATGTCTCATGTAGAATTCACATGAAATGAATGTCTTGAAATCATTTACAGCTATTACTTGACATAATACATTAAACTTTAAATTATTTATCTTAAATTTTGAAATTACCAGTAGTGATCCCACTGAGGTCTGATCTTAGACATCCGATTATCGCCGTAGGGATGATCGGAGATCGACCGGCGAGCGTTGCGGAAAGCGCAGCAGCCGAGCGCGTAGACGGCGATGAGGAAGACGACGATGACGAGGTTGAGAAGGGAGAGCTTATGCCAATCTCGCCGGACTTGTTCCAGAACTCCGGCCTTGCATGAATCGCAGCTGTAGCAAAGGAGATTGGGGGAGTTGTTCCAGCGGTAGCAGTCCTCCTCCTGCTCTGCCATGAGGATCTCCGAGGCCTCGTATTGGCATGAGGTTGGAGGCTTGCAGCACCCTGACTGCAGAGAGTGATTGTGGGGAAGAAGAGGGAAATGAGCTGAGATTTTTAGTTAGAGATTGCGAATTAGAATGTAGTGTTTGGGAAAGAGAAGACAAAATTATTATGTCTATCATTTGGACGGACGTGGATACCATCATACTCTGCGTTCGATGGCGTGATGTAATCCACAATCTTAATTGCACTTGAATTATGAGATGTCATGACATATGTTATCTATTTTATATATTATTTTAATATATATATATATATATATATATATATATAAAAATA